CTTTGATGAAGAAACAACTAAAACCATTTTCAGATGTAACATCCTCCTATGCATTAGAACTGTACTGACATTAGTAAATCAGAGACGTATTTTCGGCAGAGAATCATTTCATGCTACATTTCATTTTAATTATTTATTTGCAGAAAGTAACATTGATTGTGATCGTGGTAGATTATGATCGAATCGGTACATCAGAAGCAATTGGCCGAGTTGTTTTGGGTTGCAATGAAACAGGAGCGGGTTTACGTCATTGGTCAGACATGTTAGCCAATCCTCGTCGACCTATTGCACAATGGCACACTTTGCAACCAATGCCTGAAAAAGGTTAAAATATATAATTGCAAAAGAAAACTCAAACAATACACTCAACAATTTATTTCACTATTTTCCTCTAGTGTACCTACCTACCTATCTTTCTAACAGGATTATATTCTAACCACAGAATAATAAAACATTTAGAATGATATGTAACAAATGAAAAAGCCAATACAACAAAACCCTACGAATTGTGAATTTCTTATATTTATCAGTTACTCATTTCTCCGGGCTCTATTCTACTATTTGAAATAGTAATAAAAGATTAGAAAGATATTAATTTAAAAGTGTAACTTCAATGTGTAACCAATACAGAAACTATACATCACTTATGGATACTTTAATAAAATAATAACCATTTTTTTCCATTTAGTGTTTTCTTAATGAGAATCATTTCAATTAACTAATCTTTTCCTTGGTCTAATTTGTATCAACAGGAGAATCACAGTTAATTTTGAAATCCTTTACATATAATTAAAGTTTATCTATTCGTCTTTTATTTAATACCACTCTTATACATATATATATACACACACACACACATAATCCTTCTCCCGTTTTGTTTCTTTTTTTCGTGGGGAATCATTGTGACATTTATTCCTATACAAAATAATCTGTTATCTTGTTTTTCTGATAAAATAATAATCATATTAATAACCACACTGTTCATGTTATTCTTCTTTTACACGTCGTATATACATACATCAATATACACAATATACATTTCAATCCTAAATGTAGCCTCTTTATTAATTGTACGAATTTTAATTTGTCTTAAGAGTGTTGTTTAAGTGATTATTTCTTTGTTAAATGGATATTCAATGTGCGTTCAATGTACGTCAATATTCATCTTTTTTTTTCTCTCCTTTTAAAACACATATAAATATGAAGAGTTCATTATCATGTGAAGTTCGAAATAAAGATCTCTTTATTGATTAAAAGTCTGCTGCATATAATCAAAATAACCGATTGTCATTTTTATTCTGTTAAATATGTCAAATATACAAAACAATTTATTTAGACTACAGATTCCGACCATTATTGCTACCTTGACATGGTGGTCAGCCTTGCCTATTTTTATGAACCAATCAGGCTATACTGGTTTAGACAATCGTTCCTCGAGATTTTACCATGCCAGACAGTTCGGATGAAGAGTGGTAAGACTAAAAGCAGCAAACCCAAGTTCCGAAAGCGAAGTCGTACTGGTGACTGTTCAGAGGTGTGACGGCAGTAAGGTGTTTCCTTCAGACATCCAGCATAACAGCGACGCTGTCTTTCTACAAGGAAGAGTGGGGTTATAGAAGGTCCACCCTATAAATGCACACCTCGCCTTACCCCACGGATCCCCGTCCCTGGCGGTAAGGTTCAAACAAGTACGGAGCTAACATGAAAACTACTCACAAAAAGGTCGTGTATGGCCGACTTCAGGCAGTTGTTCATTGGGTTCTGTGGTCACGCTCTCAGGTCACCAAGACCACCCTAACCCAATTTCCTTTCCAGGTACCTCTAGAAGAACCCTTCCATGGTGTGGGCAACTGGGAAGTGATAACCACCTTCATACCTCTAACAGCACTCAAGATCACTGTATTCATAATCAATCTCCCTTTTCAATTCCTATTATTTCTCCTGCATCGACTTTCAACACTGAACTTGCTCTTTTGACTTCCTCCTCAAGTGTCACCATGGCCAACGATTCTGGTGAGAGAAACACTGTCTCAGGTCTGCTGAAACCTATCTTCAAACTACACATTGGAGCCTTCAGCGTACCCTATTTCAAATCGGCCAGCAGGTCTCCTTAGCTAAAACCCTAGAATCTCGTACCATTGATGCATGCTGTGTTACCGAAACACGTATACAGGATCCTAATGTGGTCATTCACTTGACCTCACCTAGCCAAAACGGAGAGCCGACGAGACATACTCTCTGTTTATCTGGCGACCCGATGGCTAGTTGTCGTGGACTGGCGGGTGTTGGTATAGCGCTTTGTACGAGGGCAGAACAAGCACTATTAGAATGGATCACTCTTAACAGTCACCTATCTGTTGTTCGGCTAAACGGCTCTGTAAGAAGTTAGAAGATTAGAGATACACGTCATTGCCTTTTCGTTGTTTCTGCCCATGCTCCCACTGACTGTATCCCGGATGAAGTGAAAGATGACTTTTACAGAAGACGTTCTGAACTTCTTCAAAAAACTAAACGCTCAGACAGTACTTGTAGCGAGAATGACTGAGGTCACACTTAAGCAGTTCTGGAAATGAGGCTGACCCAGATGTTGCTTGAAAAGATATACGAGCAGCTGTGGAAACAGCAGCGATACCTACTAGTGATTTGAACCAAATCAATGGATATCTACTAAGTCTCATGCACTGATAGATTCTCGTAAACTCATCCCATCAGGATCTGAATATGACTAAGAGGAAAGCAAATCAGATCTAGGTTAACCAAAAGTCTAAGAAGCCACCGTGAGCAGTGGTGGGCAACGAAAGCAAAAGAGATGGAAAAGGCAGGGGCTGTAGGTAACACAAGACAGCTTTTCAAACTAATAAAAGAAACTGGAATTAAGAAGTCAAGTGAGTGAGATGATCTCGGAAAATGACGACACTCTTATCTCCTCTCAGCCCAGACGTTTAGAACAATGGGCGGAACACTTTAAGAAGCGGTTCAGATGCTCTACAACTACCCAACATTCCCAGATAGCCTGAATGGAAGATTGAAGTAGGCCCCACAATTCTAATCGAAGTTTAAAAAGCTATAGCTAATCTGAAACGAGGAAGAGCCCCTGATCCAGATGGATTGGCTCCAGAGGTCTTTAAGGATGGTGGTCCAGTTTGAGCGACTAGGTTGACTAACATTCTAGCTAAAATCTGGAAACTGGACATAATTCCAACTGGTCACAATCACTGATTGTCCCAATATATGAGGGGTAAAAACATTCTGTGATAAACATATCATCTAAAATACTAGCCTTTGTAATTATCAGACGCCTAGTAAAGACTCGCGGACTGCAAACACGAAGAAATCGGGTTGGCTTCAGACCTGGTCGTGGCTGCATCAGCCACATATTCACTATTCGGCGTCCGAAATTGATAATCTTTCTTGACTTAAAAGCAGCATTTCACTCTGCAGAACGAGAGGTTCTGTGGCAGTATTTGTTACTGAAAGGCGTACCTCAGAAGTACATAAACCTTGTAAAGGCTCTTTACTCGAAAACTACTAGTCGAGTCAGAGCTTATGGCGAACTGTCATCTACTTTTGCAACCTCAAGTGGTGTCCGTCAAGGCTGTCCACTTTCTCCATTTCTGTTTAATTTCATCAGAGAACTACTGCTGGAAATAGCGTTCTCGTCGACTGAATTCTCGGGTATTGATCTCCTTCCAGGAGGTCCACTTATCGACTTAGAATACGCAGATGATATAGTCCTATTCAGTGAAGACGCTGATAAAATGCAGAGTCTTCTGGTAGCACTAAGCAACAATGCCAGAATGTTTGGAATGCGCTTCTCTCCCTCTAAATGCAAGTTGTTGCTCCACGACTGGCCTGCGTCAACACCTGAACTAAGGATAGGGAGTGAAGTAGTCGAACGCGTTGACAACTTCACTTATCTTGGAAGTTTGATCAGCCCTAATGGGTTGGTATCGGACGAAATCTCAGCACGGATTCGAAAAGCTCGTTTGGCTTTTGCCAACTTACGTCACCTTTGGCGAAGGCGAGATATCCGTCTATCAATAAAAGGACGAGTATACTGCGCGGCAGTCCGTTCTGTCTTACTTTACGGCAGCGAAACATGGCCTTTAAGAGTAGAAGACACTCGTGAGCTACTAGTATTTGACCAGATGCCTTAGAAATATTGCTGGCATCTGCTGGGATCACCGGGTAAGTAATAGTGAGGTTAGACTCAGGGTATTAGGTAATGATGGTAAATCAGTTGATGAGGTTGTTAATCTTCATCAAATGAGATGGTTGGGCCACGTGTTACGTATGCCTGAACACCGATTACCACGTCGTGCAATGCTAACGGGTGTTAGAGATGGTTGGAAGAGAATTAGGGGCGGGTAACTGATAGTGTGGTTAAACGCAGAGTATTAGGGAATGATGGTAAATCAGTTGATGAGGTTGTGAATCTCCACCGACTCAGATGGTTCGGCCACGTGTTACATATGCCCGAACACCGATTACCACGACGCGCAACTCTGTTGACTAGTATTGGATACGGTTAGAAGTTAGGGACTGCCAAACCAAAACGTGGCATCAGTCTTTGAAGTCACTAACTTCTAGTCTGAGCCATGTTGGTAGATGCAGACTACTTGATTGGGGTCCACGTGACTATCGTAACCAGTGGTTGGAGACTCTTGATAACATGGCTGAGAATCGATCACAAAGGCGTGGGTGTATACACTCTTTGTCTTCCCTTAAACCGTGAGATTAAAATTGCTTTATACCTTTCTTTCTATGAACTAATTCTTTCTCCCCGTATCATATCATTATATAAAATCTTTCTTTTATACATTACTACCATTGAAGTAACTATTTCTATGAATTCGGTGTCCACCTTGTCGTGCTAATGAGGTGTGGCAACTTGGACCGACACATATATGTACCTCGTCTTACGTTGTAGCTGACTGACTGCAGATCATTCCGCCACTCACTCATAGACCAACATTACGAAATAAATAAATAAAAGTAAATGATTGATATGGAATTGTAATTATAACTTCCTTACAGCACAACAGTGTAAATTTACTGATACATTTAAAAAGCAACCAGTTCAGAAATAACATCACCACAGTGCAATAATTCAAATGAAATGCTTGGTGATTAAAATTTTACATAAAGTACAAAATTTAACCAGTAAGTAATTCTAAAAATTTTGGTTCTACATACAGAAGATATAGCTTAAATGAGTTGGGTTTGTGGATATCAAGAGCAATAAAAAAACACGCACGCCTGTTAGTTTTATTGTTGATGACAGTTAGCTTTTGATAGCAATCGTACATTTACACGTGAGTAAAAGTGGAATACTTTAACATACTGTTAAAAGCAATCAAAAGCCATTTTAATGAAGAAAACGAACTTGTGAAAGATCAAAGATTTTCCATTATTATATTAGTTGTCCCAATATTTGGCATAATAATTCAGGTTTCTGTGTGGTGCGCTATAGGTTCTAGGGTTCCACACTGTCGTATTTGGACTGTCAAGATCATACCGCTGAGCGTTTTCATTCTGTGCTTGGATAAGGGCACGAGCTTGAGCAAGATATTCTGCATTACGAGCCCGTGAGGTTGGACGACCAGTTGGTGTAAGCGTATAACCATTACGCTGTTGACCTCGACTACTACTCCGGAAATTCGTTCGTTGACCCCACCTTTGGTTACGAACAAAGGTGTTGTTGCGTAAGGAATTATTTCGGGATAGGGCTCCACGGAATGATGTCCGTCTACCTAGATGCCATATGAAAAAAACCATTAATGAAATCACATAGAAATTATAAGATCATCAGAGAGAGAAAATTAAACTACGATACTATCAAACTAAGCTTGATCTCTGATATGTTCTTCAAGTAGGGAATGGCTGTAATTTTCAGTAGTTTTCACAGCTGACTTCGAGTTTCGTAATAGGTCGCATAATAACAATTTTCACGGGTTTTGTAGGTATCCATTCTTCTAAAAGATAACTATCAGGTATTATTTCAATTCATAGCAAATTGAAGGCGTTGAAAGAATTTCTACACTTTTGAATTCAACGAATTGGGTCGTTACTACAACAATTAAACGTTTTGTGTAGGTTGGCTTCTAATATACTTAAGTCTCAAGTTTTTGTATTCAAGGTAGTAAACAAACATTGGAACACCCATACTACACGGAATTCATCACAACATATAAAATCGACTGTAGAAGCCATTATTTATACAAGACGTATTAGGTATCACAGCCAAATCACGGTCTTTAACAATGATTGTAGCTAATTAGCACATGGAATTTCTGTAATCTATGTAATCCAAAACAAACGATACACTACCGAAAACAACATCAATATCATTTGCATCCCATAAAAATTTAGAGAACACTAAATCACACAGTGTTACTTTTCTATCTTTGTCTGTGTGAACATTAAAAGCTGTCATAACCCAACCCATTACATATATTTACCTATATTTATGCATGTGGAAAACTATGGACAGCAATATCAGCTAAGAAAACGTTATAAAGTAGTGAACAGAGGCAACATAAAAACCATACACAAACCTAACACTTAATGGTCAATGGACATCGAAAAACACCTAATCTATTGGTTAATCAAAACAATGACAATGAACCATAAAGTTTGATTTCAGATCCTGGAACAAAACAATCAAAATAAATGCGGGCTGTGACAATACTCTTGTACATAATACTAAGTCAAAATCCCTATTGACAGAATAAACTGTTAGTTACTGATGGAGAAATTGTAAAATCTCTTTTTTTCTAAGTTTGTACTGACGACATTGTCTAGAAAGAAAAATTAAAACTACTACAACCCACTGAACAAAACACCTTCAAGAAAACTACAAATGTTTTTTATGCTATAATCTGTATAAATCTGTACGAGTAACAAGAGCTTAATATGAAGCATCAGAAAAAACAAAATCCAAATCAGTGTTATATGGCGTTTCATGCCATCGATTTCATCTATTATACAGGAATTAGGTGGAAATCGTAAGTCGTATCTCGAAGCCGGTTTAGAAATTCCTTGTAATCTAAGTAGTCAGTGATAAGGCAAGACACGCTACTAAAATTTACTTAGTGTTCAGGTTTTTATGTAGTATGATACATAAGCCCTCAAATACCCTGGTATGGCCGAGAATGGGGTGGGCCCTCCCTCCCTCTCGAAATGCTCTCACATGGCCACGCGTATATAGCCTCTGCCAGGGAAGTCCTACTCACTGCCTTCTCGTGGCCGGGGTGTTGTTTACGAAAATGAGAGGACGAAAAGCGAATGTTCGGCGCTTTAACCGGATTCCAAATCAACGGTGCACATGGGCTCCAGTATCCTGAAGGAACAAATGGCGTATGAACCAATCGTTGGTCACCGGCTACCATGGGACTGTATCTCCTTACGATGCTCCACTGCCTTGTGGATCAGACCTTTAAGTCGAAGGCTCGGGGTGTGGCCCCTTAAGAAAACCACCTGCTTCGGTTTGGGCACCCGGGCAGTATCACAGCCCACACACACAAATATGGTGTGGCGCATATACACTTGGTGCTCTCTTGTACCAATATTTATGTGTTGAAATAAATAAATAAATAAACATCATCGGGAAATACTCCTAGAAATCCGGAATTAAAAATGATGAAAAGCAAGCACCGAAAAGTGTTTACCTTGAGGTGACCCCAATACCTGAAGGGATCTACGACGTGGACGTCTTTGAAAATTAAGTGATTGCTGCTCTGATTGCCACGAACGACCAGTGACTTGAGGTGTAGTGTAAGCTCCTCGGGAACCGACTGTTGAAGCAGGAGCGCTCCTTCGTCTTGAGGGACGTCTTTCATAGGCTATAAGAAGAAATAAATGCTTCCAATCGTTCATGTTCGGGGATATCACTGAGAATACATCAATTAAATTAGTTGTAGGAATCATTTGAGGAACACTACTGAATAGAAACGACGAAGAATGATTCATTCGAGAAAAGCTAATCCGGTATCGTATAAACCCAATCATTATTAAGCTTATTCATGTGACCTTGCACAGTCAATCTAACAATTGAGTAAGTGCCAACCTCTAGGGACAAATACTTTATGAACTTATTACTGAAAAAATAATAATAATATGATCATAAACAAAATTATTTATAGGAACCAGTGCGCACCAATGCGAGAGGTTGGTTGAATATTTCTTCGTTCATTAAACAACTGCTGACGTTGAATACGATTGCGCTGAAGAAGTGCAGTGGCATCAGCAGCTGTCCTAGCAGCGGCAGCGGCGGTTCTCTGAGCTCGGCGAAGGACTGCCTGTGCTGTCGATCTACTTGAGCGGATATTTTTTACGGTGAACACACGTTTGTTTTTCGTTAAAACTTGATGTTGAGAAGAAGACCCCTGAATAGGACGATTGATTCGAGAAAGTCGCTTCTGCCTTAAACCACGTAATCGGGTTGCAGCGGCAGATATTCGAGGTTTTTGTCGATACTGAGAAGCATTCTGGCGTCTACCACGAATAGCTAGCGTTTGTTGAACTCGTCTATTTTTACGAGCTTCTTTTTTATCCAATTTGATAATTTCATCTACAAAAAAAGAGGAAGATAATTCATGAGAAGTTGGTATAATTAATGATTAAGTTTAGACAATGTTATAATTGCAACATCCAGTATAAACTAGGTTATTAACGAGTAACCAAACTTCATTCGAACTAAGACAGATTTCAAGTGGGACTTTTGTTTATTGTTGAAATACGTTGAACACCATTAAGAGAATATATAAACAACTATGATAATGACCATGAATAAACTACTCTGATTCTTAGAACACCTTTAGTTTTTTATTATGACAAGTTCTTTACTTTTTTGTTCACTAAAACACACGGAAAAGTAGTATGGGATGAATGGAGACAATTTAGGCATTATTTGTGCATTAATTAGTCATCAGTCATATCAACTGTAGAATCTCGGACATGTGCACATCGGTACAAGTTCCCACATCCCGATGAACATGGACGTTATGCACCATGATATTCGACAAAAAAATATAAGCTTAACATTTCCTCTATTTGCGTCATACCACCACCGGACAGTATAGCATACCCGACAAATATTATGGGATTCAGTCTCCTGACGTTACACTACTGCCTAGTGGATTAGACCTTTAAGTCATAGGCTCGAAGTGGTCTCCTGCTTTGTTTAGGTCTTCAGAGAGTATGATGATGATTGATATTGGAGTGTTCCAGCTTGCCTTTGCCATCTATGCAAATGATATTTACAAATGCCTGATTAAAAACAAATTTATTATAAATTCACTTTTCCTTTTCATCTCCATTTTGTGTGTACTTTTGTTTGTTTTTTTAGCTAAACCAGCTGCTCTTCTATGATGAGTTCTACCTTGTCTGAACGATCTCTAAGTCACTGACTAGTCGGTTTGAATGTCACCATCGAATACAGAATCAGAATAAGCTTCCTTGAAACCACATGTGCCACTGAGACTGATCACCTTCAACATTTGCCCACAGATGCAGATCGGACAACAAAAAGGTTTAAGTATGTTTTCTGAAAGTCTTGATATCAATGTATGGTGTGCACTCGAGGCTCGTGTTTACGATTACTGAAGTAATACCAGTTTGCTCTCTATTAATCGATTCGAGAAGTCTGTTTCATATGCGGTTACCCGGTAGTCCTGTAGCATTTTCGTCCGCTTTGGTTTGGGCTGGTGCAACATTAAACGCCAAAGTAAAAGTGGGACTAGTTGACTGACCTGTCCGATGACGATTGATTTACCTAACGGAACGAAAGTGCACAGAGAAGTCCAACTCTTAAAGCGCCACAAATCACCAGACCCAGATGACTTACCTCCTGCCCTTTCTAAAGATGGTGGATGACTTACTAATTAGGGAACAGACTGAGTTATTTACCAATGTCGTGTAATCAGACTGCTTTAACATCGTAGAATGAGTCGATAGTTGTGCCTATATTTACAAATTATCAGGGGATAAGTCCACTTCCGACTGCATCCAAACAATCGACTTCCATCACACTTTGTAGATTGTTCAAAATCTGAGGAAGATTGACCCACGAGAAGGCTGGTTTGCGTTCTGGTCGAGGATGTGTTAATCGTATCTTCACCCTCCGCCAAATTTTAGAACGCCGTCAAACTTATTGCAGGTCAACAATCGTAGCGTTTCTCGACATCAGGGCCGCCTTCAATTCGTTAAACATGACCGTTCTATAGGATCGCCTACTGAAGAAAGATGTGCCTAAGAAGTCTACTAATATCTTCAAAGCCTTATAAAAAACACCCGACCGTTGTTGCTACGTTGACGTGGTGGTTGGGCTTGCCTATCGTGATGAAGCAACCGAGCTATACTGACTGGAACAACTGTTCCTCAAGGTCCTACCACGTCAGAAAGGTCGGTTGAAGAGCGGTAAGACTAAAATTTATTATTATTATTTCAACACATAGATATTTGTACAAAGAGGCACCAAATACATATGCGCCACACAAATCTTATTCGATATGTGTGAGGGCTGTGATACTGCCCGGGTGCCCAAACCGAAGCAGGTGGTTTTCTTAAGGGGCCACACCCCGAGCCTTCGACCTGAAGGTCTAACCCACAAGGCAGTGGAGCATCGTAAGGAGATACAGTCCCATGGAAGCCGGTGACCAACAATTGGTTCATTCGCCATTTGTTCCTTCAGGATACTGGAGTCCATGTGCACCATTGGTTTGGAATCCGGTTAAAGCGCCGGACATTCGCTTTTCGTCCTCTCATTTTCGTAAACAACACCTCCGCCACGAGAAGGCAGTGAGTAGGACTTCCCTGGCAGAGGCTATATACGCGTGGCCGTGTGAGAGTATTTCGAGAGGGAGAGCGGACTCTCCCCACTCTCGGCCGTACCAGGGCATTTGGGGGCAGTAAGACTAAAAGCAACAAACCCAAGGTCCGAAGGCGAAGTTGTACTGCTGACTGTACAGAGGTGTGGCGGCAGTAAGGTGTTTACTTCAGACAACCAGCATGACAGCGATGCTGCCTTCCCACAAGGAGGGGTGGGGTTAGAAAAGGTCGACCCTAAAAATGCACACCTCGCCTTATCCCACGGATACCCGTCTCCGGCGGTAAGGTCTCAGTAAGTACGGAGCTAACACAAAAATTGCCCATAAAAAGGTCGTGTGTGACCGACCTCAAGCAGTTGTCCCTTGGGCACTGCGGTCACGCTCCCTGGTCACTAAGACCACTTCTAATCCGATTTCCTTTTCAGGTACCTCCAGAAGAACCCTTCCACGGTGTGGGCAACCGGGAAGTGATAACTGCCCTCATACCTCTAACAGCACTCAAGACCACTGGATTCATAATCAACCTCCCTCTTCAATTCCTATTATTCCTCCATCAACTTCAAACTCTAAACTTCTTTTTTCAGCTTCCCCCTCAAGTGTCACCATAGCCAACGATTCTAGTGCTCAAAACACTGTCCCAGGTCTACTGAAACCTCGCTCCACACTACACATTGGAGCCTTCAAATCGGTCAGCAGGCTTTCTTGGCTAAAACCTTAGAGTCTCTTACCATTGATGTGTGCTGTGTCTCCGAAACACACATACAGGATTCCAGTGTGGTTATTCACTTGACCTCACCTCGGCAAAACAGAGAGCCAACGAAATACACCCTCCGTGTATCTGGAGACTCGATGGCCAGTTCTCGCGGACTGGCAGGTGTAGCCATAGCACTAAGCATGAGGGCCGAACTAGCACTGCTAGAGTGGATCCCCGTCAACAGTCGTCTATATGCTGTTCGGCTAAACGGCTCCGTAAGAACTCGGAAGGATAGGGACACACGTCGTTGCCTTTTTGTCGTTTCTGCCTACGCTCCCACTGACTGCAGCTCAGATGAAGTGAGAGATGAATTTTACAGAAAGCTGTCCGAACTCCTTCAGAAAGCTAAACGCTCAGACACGTAGCAGGTGACTTTAATGCTCAGATAGGTAGTTTAAACCAAACAGAAAGGCATTTAGGTGGATATTTTAGTATTCCGACACAGCGAACAGATAATGGTGATCGTCTGCTGCAACTATGCTCAGACAATCGTTTATTTTTAGCAAACACAAATTTCAAGCATAAGGAGAGACACCGTCTAACATGGCGACTCCCTACACCAAACCAACGATGGACTCAAATAGACCATATTGCCATCAGTCATCGTTGGAAAGGGTCGGTACAAGATTGTCGCTCATTCTGGAGTTCCTGCTTGGACTCCGACCATGCCCTAATACGGGCACGCATCTGCTTGCGCCTCATTGGACGTAAAAAAGCCACATTAAAAAGACCCGTTAGAACTAAGTTGAGTGACGAGAAAACCAAAAGTAGATTCAAGAAACAACTGAGGTCACACTTAGGTAGTTCTGAAAACGAGGCTGACCCAGAGGTTGCTTGGAAAGGCATACAATCAGCTGTGGAAACAGCAGTGACATCTATTAGTGACCACAGAGTTACAAATAAACAATGGATTTCTTCAAGGTCTATCACACTGATGGATTCTCGCAAACTCGTCCCATCAGGTTCTGAACATGATGAAGAGCGTAAAGAAATCAGATCTAGGTTAAGAAAAAGTCTAAGGAACGACCGTGAGCAGTGGTGGGCAACGAAAACAAAAGAGATGGAAAAGGCGGCGGCTATAGGGAACACAAGACAGCTCTACAGACTAATAAAAGAAACTGGAATTAATAAGTCAAGTGTAAGTGAGATTATATCGGAAAAAGACGATACTCTCATCTATTCCCAGTCCAGACGTTTAGAACGATGGGCGGAACACTTTAGAGAACAGTTCAGCTGGCCTTCAGCGACTCTACAACTACCCTCCATTCCCAGACAGCGTGAATGGAACATTGAAGTAGGTCCCCCAACTCTTGCTGAAGTTCAAAAGGCTATAGATAATCTGAAACGAGGAAGGGCAGCTGGACCAGATGGACTGGTTCCAGAAGTCTTTAAAGATGGTGGTCCAATTTTAGCGATTAGGTTGACTAATATTTTAGCTAAGATCTGGGAGTTAGACGTTATTCCATCTGACTGGTCACAATCACTTATCGTCCCAATATATAAGAAAGGGTCAAAATCATCCTGTGACAACCACAGAGGGATTAGTTTAACTAATATAATATCTAAAATACTAGCCTCGATAATTATCAGACGCCTAACTAAGACTCGTGAACTGCAAACACGAGAAAACCAAGCTGGCTTCAAACCTGGTCGTGGCTGCATCGATCACATATTCACCATTCGTCAGGTTCTAGAACACAGGCATACTTATCGACGTCCGACAATGGTGGTCTTTCTTGACTTAAAAGCAGCATTTGACTCGGTAGACCGCGAGATTCTGTGGCAGTGTCTGTCATTGAAAGGCGTACCTCAGAAGTACATAAACCTTGTAAAGGCTCTTTACTCGAAAACTACTAGTCGAGTCAGAGCTTATGGCGAACTGTCATCTACTTTTGCAACCTCAAGTGGTGTCCGTCAAGGCTGTCCACTTTCTCCATTTCTGTTTAATTTCATCAGAGAACTACTGCTGGAAATAGCGTTCTCGTCGACTGAATTCTCGGGTATTGATCTCCTTCCAGGAGGTCCACTTATCGACTTAGAATACGCAGATGATATAGTCCTATTCAGTGAAGACGCTGATAAAATGCAGAGTCTTCTGGTAGCACTAAGCAACAATGCCAGAATGTTTGGAATGCGCTTCTCTCCCTCTAAATGCAAGTTGTTGCTCCACGACTGGCTTGCGTCAACACCTGAACTAAGGATAGGGAGTGAAGTAGTCGAACGCGTTGACAACTTCACTTATCTTGGAAGTTTGATCAGCCCTAATGGGTTGGTATCGGACGAAATCTCAGCACGGATTCGAAAAGCTCGTTTGGCTTTTGCCAACTTACGTCACCTTTGGCGAAGGCGAGATATCCGTCTATCAATAAAAGGACGAGTATACTGCGCGGCAGTCCGTTCTGTCTTACTTTACGGCAGCGAAACATGGCCTTTAAGAGTAGAAGACACTCGTGAGCTACTAGTATTTGACCAGATGCCTTAGAAATATTGCTGGCATCTGCTGGGATCACCGGGTAAGTAATAGTGAGGTTAGACTCAGGGTATTAGGTAATGATGGTAAATCAGTTGATGAGGTTGTTAATCTTCATCAAATGAGATGGTTGGGCCACGTGTTACGTATGCCTGAACACCGATTACCACGTCGTGCAATGCTAACGGGTGTTAGAGATGGTTGGAAGAGAATTAGGGGCGACCAAACCCAAACGTGGCATCAGTGCTTGAAGACACTAACCTCTAGTCTTAGCCATGTTGGTAGATGCAGACTACTTGGTTGGGGTCCGCGTGACTTTCGTAACCAATGGTTGGAGACTCTTGGTGAAATGGCTCAGAATCGATCACAATGGCGTCGGTGTATACACTCCCTGTCTTCCCTTAAACTAAGAGATTAAAATCGCTTCATATCTTTCTTTCTACGAACTAATTCTATATTCCGGTACTGTATCCTTATATGCAATCTTTCTCCTATATATTACCACCTTTAACCTAACCACTCCTATGAATCCGGTGTTCAGCTTGCTGTGCTAATGAGGTATGGCAACCTGGACCGATGCATATATGTGCCTGGTCCTACGTTGTAGCTGACTGACTGACTGACTTATAAAAAACAACTCAAACGAAGTGAGGACATATAACTACCTCTCTCCACTATCCCATTCTATCAGTGAGATTAGATAGAGTTGACCAATCTCACCATTTCTCTTCAACTTTATCATCAGTAACATACTGGAAACAGCTCTGATGGGTGTAGATGGTAGTGGTGTGGGTTTGTTGCCTGAAGAAAAACTGCCGATGATTCATCTTACTGCATGATGACACAAGATATGTAAGTAGCTCTTAATCAGTTGGCAATCAGCATCCGTAGGTATAGCACGTACTCTGGGTCTTTTAAGTCCTAAGCGTTTTTACAAGATAGGTAGGAAACTGTGACTATGCTCGCCCTTGGTGAGGAGCCGTGAAAAATAATCGGGGAAGTTGTGTATTTATGTAGGTGCTGATGGTGGCATGAGTGATTGGACCAATCTACGTATAGTTAAAGCCAAGATGGCTTATGGCAATTTCAGTCATTTTTGGAATTATTTTAATACTAGTCTAGTTGTAAAATATCAGGTTTATAGTGTCTCAGTGAAAGTAGTTTAGTCTGAGAAAACTGGTTTCTCTGAATTGAGCGTTCTTTAACTTCATGTCGATCAACGTTCTCTTTGAAGGATTAGTGACATTCAGTGGCAGCGCTACGTTAGTAATCATAGGTTCATCAATATCTGTTCCGTCACTGTGATAATTCGGTGTACCCATCTTGAAACGAACTTCAGTGACAAATTGTTCGAGATTTTTGGTGATCGGGAGTAAAATCCACATGCTATTTGGTGAAACTTAGGTGCTAAAGGATTTGAAATGAATGAAAATGAAACGGAACATTAAGTTGGACCACAAGTTTAGACAGACTACTTATACAGTTTAATCTGCATAACTGCTCAAATGTTAAAGTTGGTTAAAGAAATATTTTCTGAACAGGATGCACTCTTGATATGACTAGCAAGAATTAGGCCAAACAATCACGTCTTAATTCAATGGTGAGTGACTGACCTACAAAACTGATATAATTTAGTCGTTTATCTTTCTGCTAATAATTCTTATATATGCATGTTATTTAATTAGATGGGAAACAAATTCTTCTGGCTAGTAGTAGTCATCATTCAGCCACATCGTATCATTACACATGATCAACCAACTAATACTGCAATCACTCATATAGATAATCTCCAGGCGATTTTTATTACAAATCATAGATTTTTTTCATAATGACTCTCTTGCCTTGTTAGGTTTCAATGCTAACGATAGGATTTTTTTAGGCTATAGATGTGGTTTTTCAAAATTGAAACCATATATTCCCAGAAATACGTATATGACTGGCTTTTGAGCACCTGATTTGTGCTCCCGTTTCTAGGACGATAAAACTACTAATGCTACTCTTGGGGTTCGAAGAGACGTTTTAGTTATTTTAATGTAACAAGTATCCAATTTGTCTCTAGAGTAAAAACGTAAAATGTGGTGGTAGTAGAATACTTATTTTAAAAGAGCTCCAGTGACAGCTACATAGGCAAAAAGGCTCAGAAAACCAATCAAGGGTTTCTCAAGCATTGTTCAGGGTGGACTAATCAATTAAGTTCAATATTGACTAATTCAATGAGGACAAGATAAAATCGATGCAAGTTTGGCATTCATCACTACGCACAGTTTCAATAAATCTCCCAAGACTTGCGTATCTTTATTCACTAAGTACATCAGAGTGTGCTGCAACCAAAAGTTTCCGACAAAATATCCTAAATAAATATTCTTGTAGTTGTAAGCCCCGATAGAGTCACCAAGCATACGCGTTGGCTTAGTTAGGTTTCATTGCTATAATTGAAATAATTAAGTTACGCCGATTAACTACGTTACCAATAAGCCATTTTTGGTGAACATACATAACATTCACCTATATATATATATATATATATATATATATATATATATATATATATATATACTAAGCACTTGAAATTCCAAAAAAGCAGGAATGCCAATTTGTAAGTTCATTTTTGTTTAAGTTAAGATTTAAGCACTTATGTCTGGGAACATCATACGGTACAATTTATGAAATTTCTTAGTTACTGTGGTTTGTTTGGAAGTGAGTTTTGAACAAAATATTAGAGCTCCAAAACTTTCAACCGTGTGATAATAACAAACCAATGTTAGTGTTTTTTTATTGTTAGAAGTGAGCAGCACATCCTGTTGATTAGCAATCATTAATTGTAGTAAAAAAACAGCTGTATATGGCATGGAGCTGTCAGTTTATCAAGAAACTAAGGCTGAAGTCCTAAAGGTCATGAGTTTGTAGTTAGTTGCCTTAGGAGTTTATCACAACAGTTAGTGGTAATCCTGTCGTAGTTTTCTTGCACAAATGTTACAAAAACCAAATCTACTTCACTGGAAAGCTGTCTGCTTTTAAATCAAGTATTTAATAAACACTACTCTTGTTCAGTTAATCAGTGACAATGACTTTCCTTCAATTCACTACGTCTCATTTCTTAGGTGAATCGTTGTTATATTTCCAGTCAGCCGAACACAACGTGAAACCTGGTACGCACGTACATTTGCTCACGTTGCCATAACTCGTTAGCACAGAGAGATGAGATTGTTAGGGCGAATCCCAGTGGTAGAATTGGTAACAGTACGAGTGGCAATATAAAATATTAGACATCAACGACATAAAATATAAACTAATGAAATTTCGAAGAGTCTAGAACCTCAGAACCTGGAGAAAAACGAATAGTGGACGAACCTGAGCCATTCTAAACAATTTTGAGTCACGTCATTCAGTGCGTCTAACCGTTGATTAAGACAATGACACAGATCTCAATTAGATGGTCTACAACTGTTAACATGGCTCAGTTCAACTGTTAACGACTGATGCCATTTTTAGGTTCGGTCGCTTTTAGCTTTCTTCCAGCCTACTTTTGTACCCGAAAACATTGCCCATGCGTAACACGTGTTCTAACCACCTCAGTTGGTGAGCATTTAGTACCTCACTAATTTATTTGTTAACTTTACTTAGTACCTATTTCTCATGTGGTCACTACTTACATGGTGGTAGTAAAATACAAGAGCAATGCTTCGAGGACATCTATGGTCGAATACCAGTAACCTACGGATATCATCGATTTTGAATGGCTTCCATACAGAATGCAGCGAACTGCTACGTAGTAAACTCATCCTTTGGTTGACAGACAGATATTTCATTTTCGCAACAAGTTACTCAAGGTGGCAAAAGCCAATCGGGCTGTCTGAATCCATCCCAAGATTTTGTCAGACGCCAGTTCATTAGAACTGGTGAGTAACCTAAGAGGAGTGAAAGAGCCGATACACTCATTTAATCCACTCCCTATCACTAACTCAGGCTTCGACCAATCCCGAAACAACATTTTGCACTTGAAAAATATTGGGTCTTATACTTACGTAGTAACCGAATTTTATGAGCAACACAAGCCTGACTATACTTTGATACTCTAGTCTCCAGTTTACAACTTAAATAGTCCAGTCTAACCAATGTTAAATGAAAAAACGATTCGCCTGGTATAGAAATATCTTACCTAAGCTCATATCCAACTTGTTATTAGTCTCATCCTCCGCCTTCATCCTTATCGAAAAACAGAAACCGCACTTGACTTAAGCCTGACCTTCATACGCTCAAACAAAGCTCGTTATGTTATCTCAATCTTCTTTAATAAGGATAACGGTAGGTCACTTAAAGTGTAATAATCTTTGCAGTGCTCACTTTTTGGAGGTTCGGTTACGTTATGACGATAGTTATCATGAGATTAGTGTCATCTGCTCGGACAAAGACAAGGACGAAACAGCATTTCAGTGCTTCCAGGTTTTAGATGACGTCCCAACTTATATCGATGGATGATTTTGGTGAAATTTAACAGTCTCCACAACCCCGTACTGAAAAGCCAAGAAGGTTGTAACATCTGAGTAGCCAAATACCCTACTTATTTACGAGAGTGTCTAAAAATTTATCAAAAATCACACACAATTGAGTGGTTGTTTTTAAGCCTTAGATGATAATGATTTCTAGGTCAATACGTAACAACATTAGTCCCATTGATGGCCGATATTAGTCAAAACTCATATATCAACAATTACCTAGTTCTAGAGTAGTCAGATAAATTCACTTGGTCACTATGAAGCCTTTAACTATTCCCTTCGATTCTTATCCTTCTCCAACTACTGATACTATCGGGGTAAAACGAGACCGATGATAATTTATGAGTAAGGATTCCACAGATATTCAGAGTTCGACAACACTGCTGTCCTTAACACCTTTATAATCGAAAGATATAAACCCAGTAAAATCAGAAGTCAGGAACGAATGATTTCAAAAGTATATTTTCCGGGTGGTCTACGTATCAAAAGGTGTGTGAGACAAGCTGGACAGTAGTTGAAAGAGGTTCGTGGCGCGGCATACACAGTGGTAACCTGGTGCAGATGCGCGACCTAACCCTTTCAGATAGAGTGCACTTAGTAAAACTATTGAGGTCAGTATCAATGCCAGGACTTATGGAACTATTCATTTAGGGGATTTATTTACCTTCATGTACACAGGAACGTGTACAGAGAGGATTCCAGCATGTATTTAAACGAAACAGGATAGGTTTCCGCATTCACTTGGTGCTAACGGTCTTCTAGACATCTTAAATTCCAATACTTGATTTCCTTAGAGAGTTTCAGTTAGATCACATAAATATCGTTGACGTTTATGGATGCGTGATCACTGTTATAGGCGAGCTAAAATCAAGAGGTTATCGACTCAGAATCCACTGTAAGTAAAGACACTATCTATGTGGGGAAGTGTCTGTCTTTCTGTGAACCGAGTTTCTGAGTTCAAACCGAAGAACCCGAGTTCTTCAGTGGAGTTCAAGAAGCGGGTCCCAGCAGACTAACTCCTGTTGTACGCGTGTTCAGTGAAGTTGACATAAGGAAGACCGAGTCTAACTCTTCAAAGATCGACATGTGCGGGTTTCAGTAGACATCCGACGATAATTGTTACGGAAGACCTCGAGAATGACAGTCGCCATCTGTGTTTATCAGCGAATAGTTTTTATTGGCCAAGGTTTAGCATCACCTTCTTCTTGATCCAGTTGAGCGACACTTTGGATAGGAATGCCAATAAGCATTTACGAAAAATTTGTGAATTTTCACTTTTAAACATCATGAGCTGCATCAAAAAGGTTCATGTTCACCAGAATATTACGTATTACTTGTAAACCTGCAGTATTTTATTGACTCAATTTATTCTCCTTGCGCTAATGCTTTCATAGAAAGATTACGTGGGACTACACATTTTTCTGGCAACAAGTGAAAGTAAGATAAGTTAAACTGGACCATCATTAGACGTAGTTTTAGAGATCGTAGACGAAAACTTCAATAAGGTTCTCTGAAATGTTTACAGTCCTCCTTCACTCGTGTACCACGGTGTCGCATATATCCGTCTGGGTTTCCACAAAAGTACGGAAAACAACGCCATATGCTCCTTGTCGATTAAGTGGGCATTTGTGGTGTTTGAATGAACTGATGATACCTTTGTACTTGTTGAATGCTTGATTTCGAATTCTAAATACAGTACATTCTTTTGTGGTTATCTGGTACTTCTTGATCCTGTTACGTTATTTCTAGGATTCTTAGTTTATACTATAATTCAAATACTTGTAATTACCACAGCAGTCCACACGACAAAGGGATATGAGGTCTTCAGTAGCTACTGCTTTTACTATCTGACTCTTCATTTTCCTTAAATAACTATGTATATAGAACACTTGAATAATATTCAGTATGTACTCATTTACATTCGACTCAGTGATGTGCATTGTAAGAGATGTGGTGACACTAATTTCTAATAATCAAGAGGCTAGCACTTCTATTAGTTTATTTAGATCACCAGCTAGAGATAACATTCTAGAAACAATAAACCCGCAAATACTCAGCGAGTATTCAGTTCAATATTAACAAACTCATTTGGATTGATATAGGATGCGGCACTATGGGGCTCCATCTTGAAGTGGATGTTGCGCAAATATACATATGTGATTAAATCTTAGGCTTTGGTTTAAGATATTCGAATTACCTAAATGTTTAAGAACAAATAACGTCGGCCACTTCGAAGGCTCGTAAACTCATGGGTCGTAATGTGGGTATTTGCTGGCAGAGTGAGGTTAGGCTTTTATTATACAAAGTATGTGTTCACCCAGTAATGGAATGTTGTCCATCTGTACTTAATAGCCTTCATGTAAGCTACACACTGAAAACCGATGTGACATAAAAATGACTTTAGGAAGCCTCTTCACACGATGTAACATACTAGGGCTAGAACCTCTGTAACGACCGGACCGCCAGTACTCGATTTGGACGCAGGACTGACGAACCAAAATTTATTCGAATAGGCCAGACGAAGTTCTTCTGCATAGCTTACAAAGCGTTTTTGAGATAATCGTATTAAATTATATCGAAACATAAACTCTCTGCTCAATTTAAACGATTCTAATTTATGAAATAGAACAAATTATATCAAAGTACAAAAAAACTCGAACGTTACAGCCTGTGTTGTACAGTCATAAGTTTCTCTGACGCAAAGTAGCGCGCTAAGCAATAAAAGAAACAGTTGGTACCAAAGGGTATGATACCTGAGAATCAATAAAAATATTCCCAACAAGATGGGATCAAATGTCTATCCGCAGAGATTCCAGCAATCCTCCCAAGCAGACAGTCAAAAGGTTAATAGATACACGCGGAAACACGCCGTGACCTTGTGCTTAGTCAAACACTACCTTACTGTCAATAGTTCGGCAACATGCAATGGAAAATTAGGTGACAAAAGATAAGTCTTTAATCAAAACCACATAATAAAGGCTCAGACTAGGAAGACCAAAGAACAAAAGGTGTGGTTGAACGAGATATGAACAAAGGTTAAAATACACGGCAGGAAGAAGAAACAAATAAATGACAGCACTGTCCAACAAAAATGCTGCGGTGGGATTTTAACTGTTCTCTTTCCGTTACACTGCTTTAGTAATGGAAGTTTGAGTTTCATCTTTCATGTTACTCCGAACTCACACACCAATTACTACACTACTGTAATCCAATCCTAGACTTCAACGATTTTCCCAATATCAAGCTAAAAATCACACTACGTTGACAACAATACAATATAGTAGATTTAATGTACGACAAACCGGATGATCTTATCCGCAACGCAACCATGTAAACTTACTGTATCGCATACTGTCATTTGTGCGTTCAAGTAACCACAGATTTTGTCATTTCATAATGTATTTTTAATTAAATAACTAGATTATGTAGCTAAGTTTGCTCTTTTTTAATTTTTATTCGCCACGTCCAACTGCGTTACACTGCATGTCCATTGCACGCTAGGATGATACCTCAAGTCATAGTGAGTTTATTCATATAGTTGATTGTTTCCAGATAGACTGTCACTGCATGATTTTACTGAAGAAAGTTTTGTTGTACTGTAAACTATGTTTCTATGATTAACTGACTGCTGTCTTCAGTCGGAAAGCAATATATATATATTCTTTATCTTCTGTTAGGTAAGTTCAACTGGCCTATATTTCGTGTTTTGGTTTTATCGTCTTAATTATGTCCATTTAACTACTTTAAGCAACATGTCTGTGCAAATGAAACAATTACTATGACACTTGCTTAGTTTAGCATTCTTCGTTGTCGTATAATTCAGTTTAGTTGAAAGAATTATGGTATACTTAAATATAGTGCTTGAATCCTGTAACGAAACAGATCAGTTTATTAAGTAGAGTTGTCTGTTTCTATTGAGTATACTGATTCAGATTAGTCTGATTGAAAATAGGAAAAAACGTGCATTTGATGCTGTTACTGTCATATATTATAAGATAGCAATAAGTATGTTTGTTGTTTATTTCTAGATTGTACATCTATCACTGACCATATTTCATGATCACTGTCATTAAACAATTTCCACAGCAATAACATCGGTAGCAAGATAGCTAAGCGTCTGAGCTTTTAGTTGCCCGCAAAACAGCAGTATACAGTCTTAGAAGATGAGTGTTCTGTGTCTCAATTAAATGCAGCTGGCTGTGGACAAATGTTAAGAATTTCTTTGACAACTTGGACTTTTAGTTTATCAGACACTAACTCTGCTTGTATGTCTTCCTGTTAAACTAGACGCAGATGCATGGGAATACTTAAATGGGAGCAAAATAATAAAAGCATTGCGATACAGCACTAAACCCATGTTATGCTTTGCACAAGTAATAGTAGCTGACCTGATAAAATATATTCATGAACTCAAGGTAAATCACAATTGCATAAATTCTTTGCTAAAAAACATGTAATTTGGTTTTTTTTATCTATTCCACATTTCTGACTAAATTCATTAATACTTTTTCTTTTAGAATGCAACAGGAGTGAGACTTCACAGATCCTAAAAACTGTTTCGCCCTTAGAACTATGGCCCTATGAAACTTCACGCAATACCCAAATAACAGCAGATTATAAAAAGGATGCTGGATGTCTAGTTTGGTCTCACAACCACTTACGGTATCTTTTGACTTCTTTTACTCTTTCTTTTGGAAAAAAAACAACAAAAGCTTGAGCTTAACATTCTCAATACAACTTTTAAACGGGAACATGGTTTA